ATTGTTGGATCCAAACACTATACTGTGGAAAAGAGACAACTTTCGAGGCCATGGCAGCATATTGCAAGGAGCAGCGCAGGTCAGAAGAGCTCAACGCATTGAAGAGGACGGTGGCAGAACAGCAACAAACGCTGTACACCCGAGCTGCAACAATGCGCGATCAGGTGGTACGGCAAACCCGGCTGGAAGCGGAGTGTGACCACCGTCGCGCTGGTGTTCAACAGGGATGATGGTGGTTGTTCCTCAGGTCTGAACAAGTGTGCTGTACATGCTTATGCATGGGGGCGCGTGCGCGACACCACTGGAAAAGAGCTGTTCTGGAAGTCAGTGAGTAGAGGCAAACCCAGGAAGAAGACCAACAAGGGGCAGAGGAGCAAGAGCAAAAGGTGCACAAGGTGCTGGCAATTGCCACTTGCAGTGAATCAAACAAACTTTCACTCTCCAAGCTGAATTCTCCAAGTACTGTCAAGAGATCAGGAGCTTTCATTTGTTCACATTGGACAAATTGACAGCAAGGGAAATGAGCTTTCATTCTCTGTCTGAAAAGGAGGGCTTGTCACCTGACCAAAGTTGTCGCCAAATGTTTTGGGACAGAGCAATGAGTAGCCCTATCAGTGTTAATTCCCTTTTGACTCCGACACCTTGCCCTGCTCAGGCCTAATGGACCTTTTGGTGCAACTGCTGCGTGCTCGACTCCTCTTGAGAATCCTGCGTGGGCCCATCTACGCCCTGCACAGTTGACCATTGCAGTCGTATCTGTACAGCCGACTGTAGCCCCTTTCTGCAAGAAGGTCCATCCATGCATTGTCTCACCACCAATTACTGCCGCAACACTTTACTACCCGCTCGACGCTCTTGCACGCATTACTGTGCTGCTGCTTCTCATGTAGGTCTCACTCATTGTCTGCAGACATGTCACGCCCACTGTGAAGCCGCATTCTCACCATCACACCCTGCCCTGGGCTATGCTCCTTGTCACTGCTTTTTGATGAAATGTGTGTATATGCTACTTTACTCGCCGCTCGAAACACCGGGCATTCCGCCGGTCGTTTGCGAGCCGCCTTCGCTTGCTAAGGACCACTTGCTTGGACGCAATTGCAAATGAGCGCAGATGCTGTGTTCAAAACTATTGAACTATGGAGTGCTGCGCTGCGCGCTTGCCGATGTCTCAAACTCGCGTCTGAGACGTGAAGAGCGCTTTTTCTAGCTCGCACTACTTTTGCTGTTGAACCCAGGATGCTGACAGCGTCGACTTGGCCATGTTGCTGCACAACGCGTTTTTAGCAGCGCTGCGGCTCACGCATCTGCGCAACAAAGTCAGCACAAATTAGCCGCATCACAAATACGATTCAAGTGGGACCCTTACATTTGCGGTCGCTGCCTGCATTGTTTGCGCTTCGCGAAGCGCCATTTTCATTGCGCTTGGCGACCCATCAATCCGCATTCCTAATACGATGGTGACACACGAGTCGTGACCTGCTGGAGTGCGATTGGGAACTCGCATCCAGTGGTCGTTTGAAGGATAGCTTTGACCACATCGTCCTGCATGCCATCTGTGAGCACAAGTACAACAGCCCAAGCAAAGCAAACCTGCGCTAAAGATCTCAACCTTGGCGTCCTTGGCTGGCTTGGTGCCACTCGCAAGTGTTCAATGTTTGTCAAGCAGCAAGCAACGCAGGCTTTGTCGAGTGCTCTTTCGCGTGCTCGGATCTGTGCCAGCCGACCCTGACTCGCTCTGAAAGAAAAGTTTCAGTGCAAAATCGATGTCGCTCACTAGCAATAAGTCCAACAATCGTGTATTTTGTCAAAGTTTCGGCAGAAGCGGACAGCGTAAGGGGTGCAAATTGTCTTTTTGACAGTAGACCTCACATTGGACGCAATGAAACCATTAAAAATTAGCTGATGCCATTATCCATGGCACTAGCATGCTTCCTCGAGCAAAAGGCATGCAGTCAGCCAACTACAGCTTTCGTAGAGGATGCATTGCAAGATGATAAGTCTGTGTGCACTTGTTGCACCTGTCTATGCCGTGATCTCGCTCGCATGCACAAAGCTTCTTTCAGCATTTCCGGCTTATAGGGTTTCGTCACGAGCGCTGAAACCCTGTCGATGGCGTGAAAAATGCTGTTCGCAGCCTCGAAAGTCAGCTTCGCTAGACTGTCAACGATAGTACTTAGCACATGCGGAAGAAAGTAGAAGACAAGGACGCCAAGCTTGAGCAGCTTCAGCAAGCGAATGCGAGCCTCAAGCCTCCGTTCGCAGCTCTGCAGCAGCTGGAGGACGCCTCACTGATATGGCCCTTGTCTCAGGCAGCTGCATCAACACGTAATTAAAGCCGAGAGGGCTTGCAAATAAACCTTCCCTGCTTTGGTTCGAGATACTGCTAGCACTACAAATGAGCGACGCACTCTTCAAGTGGTTGAGTAGTCGCCATAATTTGGACAACCAATATGGGAGCCTTCAGACGGAGTTCGAAGCTTTTGCGCAACCACAGTCAGTCCTTGCCGCCACCTGCTCTTGACAGACTGAACAGCAAAAATTGCCAAAGCATTGGAAGACCGACGAACGCGTGCAGGCTTGAGGCAATTGGCGCATCAAAAATCCCTCTCCTCTGCCTCAAGTGTCTCTGCTGGTTCACTTGAAGACGTCGAGGATGCGCTAGGCAAAGCTGTAGACTACCGCATTCTGGTTACTTTCTTCTTGTCTGCGAGAGAACATAGACGGCGTCTGCGACTGCGACTGCAGACACTGACCGTGTTTATCTAGCTGCAAGTGGGTGACGTTAGGTATAGATATCACGGGCGGATCACTCATCAAACCGGCGCAGCGGGTAGTATATCAATGCCGATCTGTGTTCTCTGGAAAACGTGTGAATAGACACGAGTGTTTGCCGCGTCGCGGCTGATTAGATACACGCCCCTCAAAAAAGCTGAGCACAGTCCCAGACACTTTACAACCAAATAATTCTCATCACATCAACAGCGCGCTCGTTGACAAAGCATTCGTATAGCTCATCCACACCCTCTCGAGAAGGCAGCCACTCGGCGAACATCAGAATTTTGTTGGACCACCGAATGTTGCAGCAACGAGACCTGCTTGTCGCATCGGCGCACTTGGATCACGGGTGCTCAGCTTACTTTTTGAGACCTAAACGTCCATTTCAATGATCAACTGCCCACTTGTTGAAGTGCAGGCAGATAAAGTCTGATCTGCATCAAATTGGGCCCCTTGCCAAAAGAGGCAAATTGAAATATTCCACCTCAAACGCAGAGCAGCGGCACTTGTATGACCACGTGTCGAATGATGAGTGCAGTGCCAAGGACATCAAGAAACAGCTCAGCTCCCCTAGAGTCGACGAGAGCAATGGCAGTAAGGAGTCTGAGCTGCGCGCTTCGCTTTGGTGCGGCCCCTTGAGGCGCATTAAAACTCTCTGCCACTCTTCCCGCGCTGAACATTGTCGACGCAGTGGCTTTGCTTCGGCGCGTACACAGCTCATATTTATACAGATTGATGGACTGGGAAAACCTTCCTCAATTTAGATCATCACCACTCACTCTGCAATCTTCCTGGAGCGTGAGAAGGTGCTGCAGAAGAGTGCTGCAGAAGGGTCGTTTTCTAGCATACAGCTTCGAACGCCATTGTATTTGAATTGGTCACCATAGACGCTTTGTTTTTCCAGTCCCTGATGGCAGAACTTATGGGCCGACATGTGCTTTGATGTCTTCGATGCGCTGAGTTGCTTATATATCAGCGTCGGCGGAAATGGTGCGAGCCGTTTGATAAAAATTGATAGACGCAGCTCGAACAGTGTTCTTGGTGTCTTATACAGCGCGCTGTTGGACAGTCTTTATCCACCAATTGCCGCAGCTGGCTTTGGTATGTGATCAACACACACAAGCATACCATCTTCCTGACAAAGTGCGGCTAGTCGCATCATTCGCTGAAAGATAGCATCACCTCCCATTCGCCTCACTTATTCATCTCTCACCCGGCTGGCGCTCGTGCATTTGTAGAGTCTTGCGTGATGCGGAAGCAAGAAAAGTAAGCTGAATCATAGCAAAACAATCATGTTGGCAACGGCTGGAGTCTTCAGCGTCACCTAGCGCCACTACAAGCTCCTTATCTCCAGAAAACCCGAACCCATTGGCGATGTGCGCAAATTGAGAGGTCTTATCTGAATCAATCGGCCTACACCTCCGAACGCTCCAAAGATCTTATGCATCCAACGACGCGTCGCGAAGGAAATCTCAAGGATGTTCATATGCGTTCCCGACACGCGCGACTCGTTTCGTTCTTTCATCACACCAACGTTTGTAGCGGAGAAATTGTCAACCACGCTCACGCAACCGCCTTCTGATTTCTCATACAAGCTTTTCCCAGACTCTTTACGTTTCGTGAAGAAAACGCCAGTCAATAAAATGCGCTGACGACGACAACAGCGAAGCCCAAAATGCAGTCAAGAACGGTCTTCGATGGCTCAGGACTCTTGAAAAAAGTTGGACTTTGATGATCTGGTCTTTCATCACTGTGGTGCGGAAACAATATACGTTGACGATCTGCTCTTTCCATCACTATAGTTCAATAGATGGAGGGGGCACACTTAAATCAGCTTCTGAGACAAGCATTCGTTAAGGTCAGTCGCTACTAGCAGTTCGTCGAATCAATTCACCGGATGCCCCAAAAGAACATTACGAGGCTAGTGTCAATGTAATCTGGCGGCTCTTATGGCCTGTGACACCGCCTGTCATTGTCGTTGCACTCGATGACATCAGCATGACTACAACCACTCATGATATACATAAGAGAAATCGTGCTGTGTAGGAACTTGTGCGTTGAGAGCAACTCTTTACTTTCGCGCGTTCCAAGAGCGGTCAGTAGATGCGACAGACTTCTGAGCTGTCTACACGAACGACGACGACGACGATAGACTGGAGAGTGTTGCATCACGATAGGATGAGGAGGGACCTGGTACTCACCGGTCGGTACAATGTCGATGGCTCTCAGAGTGATCCCAGGTTATCCTTCAATTTGCTGGATAATTCCTTGCGCAAGATTTCGCTCGACGTGAGGCTCGCTTCCTTCGAAGACCTGTCCGGCACTTTGTGTGCTACCGCAAAGTCGATGGGACACAAACCTGTGTCGCCAACAATGTAGCCTTGCCTGACAACCATGATCCTCAGATCTGTGCCGGAAGTCTCCATGCACAATACGTCGGAGAATGCTTGGAGTGTGGCTTTTCCTGGTACGATATGAGGCTTGGCCCATCGGAGGGGCCTCGAGGACGGTGGTACAGCCGACGTTGATGATTGCGCCGCCCTCAGAACCTCTTCAGCTGGCATCGAGGGTGCTTCTAGGCTGGGGGAGTGAGTCAAGACCATTACACTCACAATGCTGGGTCTCTTCACGTTCAAACCGTCTGAAATCCCCAGCTCGTGGAAAGGCGCTGGCTATTCGAGCGAGACCACAGCCTGTGTGGGCAAGTCTAGGAGCATGCATCAACCCGCGCCTATTGTCGCAAGACCCATCAGCTACTTGTGACGAGGACATCAATGCGATCGACCGTCTGATATCCCTCGATGATCTTGTCGACGTCGTGCACAGCGCCGACGTCCGCGCGCATAGCCCCCAGAGCCTCGTGGCGTTTCAATTGGAAGCTTTTGAATCATTTCATTGAGCTTCTCGAAAGGCGCGTCCCAGCAAAGCGACTCTGAGATTCCCAGCTGCCAAGATTCAGAGGACGGCGGCTTCTGTGCCGTATACAGCTCCCCTCTGAGACGTTGTAAAGCCGGGAGGATGTAGGGTCTCACACAAGATCTGCAATGAGATTGTCGCGTCCGGCGAACTCAATATGACGGCAACGCGCTGATCTGTCTCATGCGAAAGCTCGAGTGCTCATTGGGAGTAGGTCTGAATCAGCAGAGAGAAACTCTGTGTGTCTACTGGAAGGGGTGGTAGTTCTCGATGTACCGTGAGAGAAAGGCGAGCACGTGAGGTCGACTTCTTCCGCGACGACTCTCAGTCCGAATTGGAATCGAATGCAGCGCGGAGAAACCGACCGCGGACAGCAAAGGTATGTGTGGAGGTAGACGTCGCGTGGGGCTCATCATGCACGCTATAGGACGATGCACGCACGCACGCGTACCGGAGTCCGGTCACGCTATTGAAGAGCCTGCTCAGCGCTGTAGGTCCGCGGGACCGAAAGTCGAGTGGACAGTCAAGAGTGGTGGAAGACGCGATCAAGAAATACTCTCACACTCGCGACTGTGGGAGGCACAGCATTACCAGGGACATTTAAAGGCAGTCCCGTCGCGCATTGTCGAGGCATCCACATCACCACCATCATCATCATCCGCAAGGCGCGTGCCCGTCTGTTACTCTCCGTATGGCCTGGATGCTTACATCGCGATGGCGTCGTATCGCTCCACAATACCGCATTTGGGCTTGACGTCCACGTCGAGGATTCTCGTGCAAAATTTGACGGGTCGATCAGCTACCATGCATGCTCGCCTCTCCATCGCTAACCGCACCAACATTGTTGCCGGCACGACGAGCGCCAAGAACATTGCCAAATTCAGCCAAGGTGTCACGGGAGGAGCGGTGACACATCCAGAGCTCAAAATTCCCCTCCATACTACCGTTCGCGACGCCATTGCTGCGCACAAAGAAGAGACTGGCAATCACAACTACGACGCCACAGCTGTGTTTGTGCCGCCCCAAGGGGCAGCTGATGCGATTCTGGAAGCCATAGAGAATGAGGTGAGCATAGCTGGAGACTGCGGCGGGCTAACTTCGTTGGCTCCAATGCTTAAGGCTCATCTCGGACCACATTACTGGCAGATTCCCTTGATCGTCAGTGTGGCCGAGGGGATTCCCACCAGAGATCAGTTCCGGGTCATGGCCGCCTTGCACTCGCAATCGAAGTCCCGCTTGGTGGGAGCCAATTCGCCCGGCTACACCTGCGCATATGGTCCTCGTTTGGGAATCGCTCCAGTCGCTGCCGCTCTACCCGGCTGTATCGGTGAGCATATTGAGCGCGACCTCAAATCCGACGTTTTGCTGAAGACTTCTTACTGCGGACGCGGGTGCAGGCATCGCTGCACGCTCCGGTACGCTCTCCTATGAGGCAATGGGTGCAACCAAAGGCGAGTTTGATGTGAAAATCAGACTGCTCACTTTCTTCAACAGCTGCTGATGAAAGAGCGACTCCAGACATTGGAATTGGGCAAAGCTACATTCTTGGACTGGGCGGCGATCTCTATCCGGGCACCCGCATGGATGGTAAGCAAGATGCGAAAGCTGACCACGAGCAAAGCGAGGCAGAATCCTGAGTCAGGCCGAGTTTTCTTCCCGCAGAGGCACTGGAATTTTTGCTGTCCGACCCCACCACAAGCGGAATCGTCTTGCTTGGAGAAGTTGGTGGGACGATGGAAGAGGACGTCGCCTCATACCTGCATTCTCTAAGGCCGGAGCAAAGGGGCCATAAGCCAATTGTCGGGTTCATAGCTGGCAGAGGTGTGCCGCAGGGTCTCAGAAATTATGGTCATGCAGGCGCATTCTGGACAGACAACGCGGGAGATGCTGACAGCAAGAGGCGAATGTGGAAAGATGGTGAGGATCATCCAAGTGGTAGATGTCGATATGCGTGAGTCGGCGAATGACACAAACCTTGCCGATTCGCAGCTGGCATCATCGTGGTGGATCGGGTTGGCGACACCGCTACAGCAGTGCGTGACGAGTTGTGCAGATTGAGGCAACTTCCGGACGAGGTGAACTACGAGCTCAGAACCGGCAAGAAGAGATAGGAGGACGAGTAAGTCTTCCCGCCAAGCACAAGTGTCGACATGCCGCACAAGGTTTCTCTTAATGTCAAATCTCATGCTCAGCAACGATGACGTGACGCTCAAAGAGCCAAGAGCGATGAGATTTGCGACATGGGCGGTGTGAAATGACACAAGAGACTGTTTTCACAGTCGCATCTTCCAGCCGCGACGCCATCCTTCAAGGGCAAGTGCGGAGCAAGCGGCCAGATACAAGAGTAGAATGACGAGCGCGAGCGGTGCCGGAACAAACAATGTGCGCATGGTCAAGTTGACCAAGCCAGTCAGGAGATTGCCCTGTGATGGCGAGGCTCGATGCCATGAGTGTCACTTCCCCACGGCGGCGGCCTATTTTCAGCACTCACAGCTAGGAAAATGTGCAACCCTTGAGCGTTGATCGCTTCCAGCAAGGCGGGCGTTCGAGGCTCCGCAGGCGCTGTAGCGCGAGCAAGACTCCGAGACGCATTGTCAGCGTTCAGAGCTAAGGCGGAGCTGTCTTCATAAGACGTAGGCGCGCTGACAAGGGGTTGACCCGGGATGCCATCTTTGCTCTGGGCTCGCGACGCTTCAAAGAGACGCTCATGCTCGAGGCCGCGCAGCGCATCTTCAGCTTCCTCCTCCATGCTGTCCTCGTCCGAGGAATTATCGCGAGCCTTTCTCCTGCTTGCGCGAAGGCGCTGTCGAGTGGATGCGTCATCTACCGCTCGGTTTGCAGTGCTGGCAGGCCATTCCACCAATGCGAGAAAGATGGCCACGTAGCCGAGCAAGAAAGAGACGTTAAATGCGGACACCCAGATGACGTAAGGTAGATTCGCCTGATCCACGCCCAGAGATGTCGGTCTCAGCTGGCAGTTTCTTAAGCCGCATGCAAGCAAACCCACTCACCAATCTCCGGCTAGCGACTCGTCCTGCGGGCGAAACCAGAGCTAGCAGCCCATACGCCATCCAAAAGAGCAACGACAGACTCGCAAGAACCTCGCAAAGCTTTTCGTATTTTGGCTTGTTGCGCGAAGCGCTCGCTCTTCGGTAGGCGTAGTAGGGATCCAGAGGTAGGACGTAGTGCCCTACATCTAGACCTATGAGGTACAAGGCAAGATAGCCTGCGCAGTGCCTGCATTTAGCCAGGGGTGCACAGAAGGTACTTTGGACACGGCAAGACGACTCACCCGCGAGTGAAACGACTCCCTCTTTGTTGGCACTGAACAGCGAAGTTCGGGGACCTGGCGCAAGGGCATAGCTCTGAAGGCTAGTCAGGCGCAAGAGAATCTCGTAGGCTACGGCCCGTGGATCGGGAAATGCATCAGCCTTGCCGTTTGTACGCATTCCTCTCGAGACTTACCAACACCAATTCCCATCCCGATCACACTCCACCGCGCGTTGCGCTGCCGTGCAAGCGGCCGCAATATTGTAGCTAGAGGCGGCAAGAGCGCAAGAGTAATGAAGAAATTCCAGTGCACGCCGTACTCCGAAAGGTGTTCCTGAGCGAGGGACAGGGTCATTATTGTAGAGGTGTAAGGTGGGTTGCGCTGACACAAGCACTCAAGAACCGAGACTCCGTACAACACACCTGGTAATGCGACCCTTTGACAGCAATCACACGGGCGCCTCCAAGCAGAAGCAGAGGCAGTGCTTTTCTCACTTCCCTCAAAAGCGATGCGCGCACCGGTTCGTAGCGCGTCTGTGCACGCAGCAGCGGTGCAGCGTTGATGAGGCCTAGGCTGAAGACGAATGAGCCCACTCCAAGGTCCATCTGGGCAAAGCCATAATGTCAGTCTCTGCACTGAGCGTGAACCAGCAAGCGTGTCACTCCCATCCTCACACGCCAAGAGCCGCTCCTGACCATCGTACTCACTACGCTTACGCCCCAACTTTCGCACTTTGCGTCCCGACCAACGTCAAAGACTCGAGGAAAATCGACAGCAAGAATGCAGATGAGGGTCATGAGCATCATGTGCGCGCGGTACACCGTCAGGAAGGGCCTTGACCTCGGGACGGGTGCGGCCTGCGCAGCAAGCGGGGTGGCTGCACCGCTCGCTGCATCTAGAAGGGGTGACACATCGCCGTCGGGTCCAGTTGAGGCCGCTGATCTTGCCAAGCGCTGTGTCAGCTCGTGCTCCGCGCCAGACAAGCTGTCAGATGTACCACGACCTAATGGAGACCGGACTCGAGGTATGTGATCGCGTGATGTTGCAATGGCATTTCGATCTTCGTTGCGCCACTGGATGGAATGATCCTGAGAGGAAGAGGTTGCGCCAGGAGTGTGAAGGGAAGAGGTGGATGCGGATGCGGATGCGCTTGCTGGGCTTGAAGGTTGAGGCTGGGTGCTGTCCGTGTGAGGCGAGCCAGTCTTGAGAGGCCACAAGTCAGGCACGCTCGTCCTCCTCGCAGTGGGGTCATCATCCAGAAATGCCAGACCAAGCGCCTGCGACTGGGTTTGCTTGCCCTTTTCGTTTCGATGGACATTGTCTGGAGACTCGTACCGAGTGGGAGCATTGGCGGCAGCGTGAGCAGCGTCGCCGGCGGAATCTATGCTGATCCGCATGGGTTCGGCCAATTGGGCTGCTCTGGCCTTTGCTGAGGAGGCATCGCGAGCAACTGCGCTGACTTGCGCCCGCAGTCGAAGCACGCCAAGGCAGGCGAGGGAGAGAGCTGCGTTGAAGAGCGATGATGCAGCTGCGGATGAAAAAAGGGTGCAAGACAGCAAGAGCGGCAGCACCAGCAGGGCAAATTGAAGAAGCGCGCTGTCCAACAAGCGAGGTCTTTTGAGTCGCAAGGCAGCCCACAGGGCGTAAGTCGTCTGAGGTTGGGTCGAGCGAGCAGCCGAAGGCAGGTGGACATCACCATCGTCAGCTTTGCTACCAGGAGGCGGCATGAGGGTGCATGTATGCGTGTTTGTGATGTCGCAATCTCTACTCACAAGGGCAGTGAGACTGATGAGGTTGATGCGCGTCAAGCTCGAGCCGGTGAGGCCAGTGACCGAAGACTCTTTCAACGTGCGGTACTCGTCCGAAGTGAGGCCCATGCTGACTCCGAACCTAACAAGAGGGGGTGAGCGGGCAGAAGCTAGTTGAAGGGGATGTGGGCCGCAAGGGCTAGAGCAAAAAGTCAGAGGCAAAGTCTTGCGCAGGGCCCATGCAAGCGGAAAAGTGCGAGCCGCTAGTCCAGGGCCACGAGTGTGAGTGTTGGACGTGAGCGTCGTTGGTGCGAGATTGTGAAGTTGCCGAGGTGCGTACAGGTCTTGAAGCGTGTTTCTTTCTTTCCGAATTACCACTTTGAACAGTCAGAGTCTGAGTTGTTTGTGTGGTGATTCTCGTCCATTCAACAACACGTCTGCTCCTCCACACGACGTTGCGTACGCGAGGATGATATTCTTGATTATTCTTGGTACCCACCAAAGCAATTAACACGTCGGTGCTCGGCTTTCCGGCGGGAGTCAGTCACAGTCGAAGACGGGCGCGCGACTCAGACTCTGACCCTGACTTAATTGCTGTTTCTGCGCCTGCGCGCGCGCGCGCGCGCGCGTCTTCCTCTCTTAATTCGCAACACAATCACGTGAATCGAGACGTCATCCGATCGAGGAAGCCCGTGCGCAAACGAGCAGCAGCAAGGTGACCGTGTCCCCCCGCTCGGTCATCGGCCATCGCGCGCGGACAACCGGTCACGTGTACGGCTCATCATCCTCATCATCTTCCCCGCATCGCATGCATGCATGCGTGCGTGCAGCAGCACGCGTCGCTCTTCTTCTGGCTCTTCTGAAAGCGATCGATGGGGACGATGAGGGGAAACACGCGGACGGACGAGCGTACGTCGCGCGCGTACAGTATTCGCGGCGGGCGACGGCTGCGGGTGAGACATTCGTGATTCGTGATTCGTGATTGCAGCGGATGCGCAAGTGTGGGCGCCTGGGCAGTCAGTTGCGGGTCAATATAGGAGGCCATGCAGCTCGTGAGTGATGCCCGCCAGGCTTGCACTCACACTCACACTCACACTGTCTGGCTGCTGTCGGAAGTCATCGTGAGTCACAGTGTGAGTGTGAGTGTGATAGTGATCGTGCAAGCCTGCTGCACGCACGCTGCTGCAGTCTTGAGTCGCAGTCGTGAGTGGTGAGTGTACGGTATAGTCACGAGTCACGAGTCACGAGTGTGACGCCAGCGCGGGGAAACGCAGCGTGCGGTCAGTGCGGATCATTCATCAGTCGTCAGTCACTCGTCGCTCGACTCACTCTGATGCCCGCGTGCATCAAGAAGACGTGCGCTTTTGACAGCAGCAGCTAGCAACATCAAGAAGTGAGTGAGCATGCAGGGCTTTCGCTCGATCGCTCGATCGCTCGCTCGATCGCTCGCTCGCTCGCACGCACGCACGCACGCACGCCAGCCCTTTTCCTTTCCTCTCCCTTACCCCCACATTCTTGATTCGGGTCTCGATTCAACTCTCACTGTGCACCCTCCTTTGCCTTCCGCTCACGCTCACACTCACACTCCTTCTCCACCTTTTAATCAATTGCATACCCATCACAGCTTGTGCTCTGTAGCCGCCGCCAAGCTCGATTCATCAGCTGGCCAGGATGTGCTTTCCCAAATCGAACCACAAAACGCTCATCGACTCCTGCTTCCCACCTCCAAAGGCGCTGGGTGGAAGCGGGCCAGAGTACAAGGCGAACAGCAACGAGCTCAGCAGATTGGCCTACTACGCCAACTCCAAACCCGCAAAGCTCACAAAAGTCTTTTCCAACCTGTCGGATAAGGCCAATGCCTTTGCAAAGGGTCTTGCAGGCGCAACCGGCGCCAAAGCGGACAACAACAAGGGGTACGTTGCGTTTGGGGGGAGGGAGGGGAAAGGGAGGGGTGTAGACAGTGACATGAGCGCAAATGCTGGACCATGCTGACCCTGACGACGTCCACACGCGCACGCGCGCACGCACGCACGCACGCACGCACGCAAAAGTGGCTTGATGTTGACGCTTGCGATCGTCAAGTCGTTGGTGACGGATTGCAAGTCGCATTTGTCCTACTTTGCCTCTTCCGCTCAAGACATTGTCCACCAATCTATCGTCTCTGCTGCAGCTGGGCCCGGACCTGCTGCCAATCGTCGTGACCTGGACATTTCAACCAGATCCGCAAGCACCTTCTACGCCATTGCCAACTACATCGACCCCGCAACCGCAAACGCCGATGGTCGCTACCAAGGTCTGATCAAGCAATTTGCACGCGTCGCTACCGAGCAGACCAACGACAAGGAGGATACTAGCAGGTGAGGCCGTTGGCAAAGTCGCGTCCGTAAACGGCGTTGTGGCGCTTGCCTGACTTGGATGCGTAATTTTTGCCCTAGAATCCGCTTGATAGGTCTTGGCGCCTTGGCTGGTGCTGTGGGCTCCGACGCTCTGTACACGTCCAGCTTCAAGGAACAGACCAACATCATCGTGCCCGCTCTTCTTGCAAATCTCCTCGAATCAGATGCCGTCAATCTCGACTACCTTCGCTCAGAAGCTGCAAAGGCCGCTCAAGGCTCTCCAAGCTTTGCAGAGTACAATGCAAAGCGTCGTCCCATCGCCTCTCGTCGCACGCCCAGCCTTTCCGGCACAGCAGCTACGGAAAAGACGTATACAGCAAAGGACGCTGCTTCTTCAGCCATCTCCACCCTCCAGGGTCTACTGCACAATGCCGATGCCAGTCACGTCCAGATCATTGCCAGCGCAGTCATTACGTACCTGGATGGCACGACTGCCTGGTCAAAATGCAGTGTGCCATGGTGCGTCTGGCTCGCTGAAGCACTGACTAGCTGGACAGCACAGCCATACAGGTTCTTGATCCTCAACGCTCTGCTCGAAAACCTCGTCGAGACCGAAGCTTCGTCGCCATCCCCTCCGAGCGGCGACTCGTCATCGCGCAAGTCGGAGACCCTACTCGTCATGATTTCAGGCCTGTTGAGGAGCAAATTGTCCCTCATCGGCTTGAGCACCAGCGACACCATCTCCAATCTGCTTGGTCTGGCCGTCAGGCGTACACACGCCAACCCGGATGATGCGCTACTACCGGCCCTCATCGACTGCATCGGTGCTGTGGGCACCCACACATACTATGCCGATCAAGCGACCGACTCGGCCGACGAGATTTGCGCGCGCATTGGCGCTCTGTTACTATCTTCTGCTGATGCCGATGGTCTCGCTGCCGCGTCTGCTGCCAAGACGTCCACAGGAGCACAGCTGGCTCCACACCAGCCTCGCCGACCCATCAAGACCAGCGACCGAGCTAGAGACGTCTCCATTCGCGTCTTGCTTTGCGCTTTGGCTTCGCTCACCGACGCAGCCAACGCATATCCTAGCAAGGCGAGCGCTGGTGGCACTGGAGTAGGAACGGCTCGCTCGCGCATCTCTCCAGATGTACTCGCACCTACATGCGCACTACTGATATCACCCAATCCGCGCGTCAGGACCACCTTTCACCAGACTGTGTTGTACTTCTTGGAAAGAGAAGCCGGGCCGGGCTCGGACACGCTGCCCTCTGCGCACGAAGCGCAGCAAAAGGAGTCCGCCTCGTTCGTCCACGCTTGGAGCGCTGGTGCTTTTGTCCTCGCACTTTCCAAAACGCTCTTCTTGCCCGGAGCTAGCGGTGTGGGCAGCTCCACAGCATCCGCGTCCGGATCTGCAGCCGGCGCGCCAAAATTCGAGTCTCCTCTAGGATACCTCCCGATCATCGATCGAGCGAATGTGGAGGGCACAAAACTTCCGAATCAGGAGTCGGCCGCTACTCCCCTGGACTACAGCGCACTGACCGCCATCTCCGAGAAGCTGATCCAGTACTTGCCCATCCCAGCCACGCTTGGGCTTGTGCCCGCATTATTGAAGCTTGACAAGGATGTGCGCAGCAGGCTTTCAGGAGGTGCTGCAGAGAGCGAAAGAGCTGCGGCCACGTCGTCATTCATCGGCAAGAGCTTCTCGACGCTAGCCAGCGCGTGGGACGCGCCCAAGGCTGGTGTCTCTGTGAGTCCAAATACCTTTTGGACTGTAGACCAAATCAACTCAATGACTGACTCGAGGATCACAATCTGGCCCAGACGTCTTCTGCGTCTCTTCCCTTGTTCCCTGTCCAGCAGCCCGACCTAGATTCCATTCCAGATGCAGGAAACTTCAAAGGCATGAGTTCCAGCGGCTCTGCATCGAGCGTGAACGCGTCAAGCATCGTGGACGCGCTTTCCAAGTCGAGCAAGTTGCAGGAGGACAGTAGGCTCAGTCAGCAAGAGCTCGCCGATTGGCTTTCGCGCGATTGGAGCGTCAGCATTGCAGTCGATGATGGTGAGTATGCGCGTGCGTCAGGTCACAAGAGCTACCGATTCTCATCGCAGATCCATCAACCTTTACTCTTCTTCTATGGCAGCCTTGATCGGTGCTTCTCCTTTCCGGTCTTCGCTCGATGGATCTAGCGTGCCGCGACCTTTCGAAGGCGTGCGAGGAGGGGAAGCAGCGTCGGCCGTCTTGCCTACCTCTGCAGAACAGCCACGCGGCGTGGGTGTGGACGACTTCCGTGCTGCGCTTGGAAGCCGCTCGTACGGCTCAGGTGGAGGAGGAGCCAGCATTGGTGGCAACAGAGCGACCAGCAGAAGCGGCAGCTCCGCTCCTCCGAGCGCAGCCAACAACCTCACCGGAAGCAATTCCTTGACGGGTCTCGGCAGCGCTGATGGATCAGCAGCGGGTCGAGGCGCACTAGCGGAGAGGAGAACAAGTCGGAGAGTGAGCAGAAAGGAGCTTAATCCTGCCGCGGCCGGAAGAGACGTAGGCAAGATTCTGGACGGCTTGCACATTGGCACAGCGGACGAATCGCTCGAGGACCCTTACACTGTCAAGAGCAAAAAAGCCCACGATGGGGACACCAGGCTCGTCGCACCCGTCCTCTCGTAAAGTGCATAAGCTTTTTCCCTCGCTGGATTCGTATACATTCACGCTTTGTTTCTATCCCTCCCCTGCTTTGCTCGGCCACCACTCGCGTTCCTTGCGCTCGTGAAATCTTAATATCTTGTCTGCTACCCGCCACCTTGCTCTGCTGTGCGGTTCCTGGAACGCCCATCTTATAGCTCAAAATTATTCAACAAGAACCGCACTAGAACACGCCACGCGAACGCAGGACAACACGTAATGAATTTGGTATCTTTGTTGGGGAGAAAGGAGTGGTGCGGGTAGTAGAAGGAGAGGGCAGTCAAGTGTCGCTATATGAAAGTATCGACGTTCAAAAAGATGGACAGATCAATGATGGAGGGATTCTTGATGCGCAGAGAGACGAGACGAAAAAAGAAAGTCAAAGCAAGAGTCCGACGTGAAAAAGGAGTTTGTTGATCGACGTGGCTCGGAGCATCAAGCGGCCAAACGATCCTTGGCCATCTTCGCTTCGTTTTCGAGCCTCTCTATCTCTTCCTTGAGCGCCGACACCTCTTCCGCTTCCTGCTGTGCAAACCCAAGCTCCATCTTTGCCGAATGAAGCTCCTTGGAGCTCTTGTTGGCTACCTCCCTAGCTTCGAAAAGCTGTTGCTCCAGCGCCTTGAGCGTCTGACGATGCTGCGTCTCGATGATGGATAGCTTTTCATTGTGCGCCGCGTGAAGCTGGAATTCGTGCAGGTTCAGACCAAAGGGGGAAAGAAAAGTCAGCGGAAAGACAAGTGCTAAGTCTGTGCATCGAAACGCACCTGCTCAAGATCGGACTGCAGAGCGCATGAGAGAGCTCAACTCAGCAAAGGGCTCGGTGCCATTGATGTCTCGGAGCACTGGTCACACAGCACTCACGGTACCCTCTGCGCTTGCTGCAGGAGCAGCAACACTTGGAACGTTGGCAGCGGCCTCTGCGACCTTGGCACGACTGTTTGCGTCTTGAGCTTCCCTTTCCGCCTGATTCAGCTTGTCTTGCAAATTCTGTCGTAGTGCGAACGCGATCAGTCGCGCGCTTCAAGGCCATGCGGCCACCACTCGCACTCACCATCAGGTTCTCGGCATCTTTCGTGTGCTTCTCAAGATGCTTCTTGAGCTCTTCTTGGTGCTGCTTGTGAATCCTTTCCACCTCCCTCGCATTTCTCTCTGCGCCATCTTGAGAGCTAAGTTGCTGGGCTTTGGAAAGCTCGTCCATCTGACTCGCATAGGCGTCCTGAGTCTCTTGCAAAGCCTTTTGGCTGTTCTTCACCTCTTCCTCCAACTCTTGGACCCGGTCGTGAGCTTGCTTCAATTCTGCAGCCGCAGCTGCTGCGCTGGCAGACTCTGCATCCGCAGACTTTGCAGCCTGCAGCGCTTCCTCCAAGGACTTGACCTTGGCGTCCGACGAGCCTTTCTCTTCGCCAAGGCGAGCAAGGTCAACTCTCACCTTCTTGAGGTCCTCTTGTGCAGCTTTGAGATCCAGCTTGAGCCTGTTGGACTCGCTGCCCGTGCTTCTCTCGGCCTCCATTACAGCCTGAGCATGCTCTTCCTTCAGCCTGCTGATCTCACCCTCGTGTTGCTCGCGCAGCTGCTTGATCGTGCCTTCCGTGCGAGTCTTTAGCTCTCCCAAATCGACTCCGTGCGTCGTTCCAGCTTCAGCTCGAGCCTTTTCGAATGCTTCTGCAAGATTTTTGGTGTGTTCGGCTTGCGCCTCGGCCAGCTTGCCATCGTAGATGCTCTGCTGAGATTCGAGCTGCTTTCTCACACTGGCCAGCTCGGCCGCACTGGCCTCGGCAGCCTTTTCAGCTGCTTGACGATCACCATCTCGAGCTGCTTCGAGAGCAGACAGTGCGCTTGTGTGAGCCTCGACAGCACTGGCGGTGCTCTCCTCGTGCTGTTTTCCGAGCATCTCAAGCGCAGCAGCGTGGGAAGCCTCCAGCTCTTGACGCAGATTGCTCAAAGCACCCTCCTGAGCTGACGCATGAGTCTCGGTCTGCTCCTGAAGAGCTTTTGCGATCGCCGCTTCTTGCGCAGACGAATGCTCACTTCTGAGGTCTTCGATCGCTTTGGCGTGTCCAGCAGCGGTCTGCTCGCTCTCTCCATCTTTTTCCTTCTTGAACTTGGCAAGGATGATGGCGTGCTCGTCCTTGATGCTCGATAGCACGCTATCGTGCTCCGCTCGAAGCTTGTCAGCAGTAGAACCGTGCGATGCGTTTGCCTCTTCGAGCTCCTTCTCGAGCCTCTCCACGTCCGACTTTAGCTTGCTGATCTCACCATCGTGCACGTCCCTTGCACCGCTTGCATTCTTGCTCGCTTCGTCGAGCTGAGTCTGCAAGTCTTGAGCCTTCTGTTCGGCGAGATGATGGTCCTCTTGAAGTTTCTTGAGCTCGAGCTCAGCTTTGTGGGCTGCCTCCCGAGCTGCAGTAGCTGCACTTTGAGCTTCGGCAAGTGCAGCTTTGACAGCAGGATCCTCGGCTGGCGCGGCATTTTTCATCTCCTCAAGCTGACCTTCGAGCTCGGCGATACGTTGCTTGAACGGCGTCGGGTCTTCATGGGAGGCCGAGGACTCTGCTGTCAGTCTAAGCTGGGCGACTTGTGCATCCAGCTCTTTGATCTTGGTTTCCGCATCGGAGTCGTCCTTCTCGGCGGTCGCTGCACCCTCCACCTTGGCTTGCAAGGCGCTGAGTTCGGCATCCTTTTCGCGAACTTGAGCATCCTTGGCTTCCAATTCAGATCGCAAGCTGTCGATCGTCTCGTTGGTCTCGCTCAGCTCCGACTCTAGCTTGCTGATCTTTTCCTTGACCTCGGTCGGAGTCAGAGGCTTTTTGGCTGCAACGCCGGCCGAAGCAGAGCTTGGGGTGATGCTGCTGCGCGCAGCCGTAGCTGTGGGGCGCGCACCCGCGACGCTAGGACGAGCAGATGCAGTGGTGCTGGCACTGGCCGTGCTCAGTCTGCGAGCAGCAGTTCCACTGCCAGCTACAGGAGGTCGGGATGCAGTAGTCGTTGCGGTGGCGCCTGCAGGACGAACGACGCCTGGACGTACAGCGCTGGCAGTAGTGCCCGCTGCTGGCTTCTTGACTGGTGTGGTGGTGGTGCTGGATGGGGTGCCAACAGGCCTTCGAGCCGTCGCAGTAGCGCTGCCAGGTGCCGGTCTAGCAGGTGCCGTCGTTGCGGAAGGGCGCGTAGCAGTAGCTGCACCTGCGGGCCTGGCGTTGGTACTGGAAGCGAGGGAAGAGCGTGCGCTCGCGGCGGGAGGTCTGGCAGCGCCAGTCGTGGCTGCGGGACGAGCAGCACCCGGCCCGACAGAAGATCTCAAACCGGCCGTTGCGGTGCCAGCAGCGCTGCCTCGGGCAGCAGCACCGGTCGTGCCCGCAGGACGAGCCGTTGAGGCGGCTGCGCCCGGACGTGCTGCTGCTGCTGCTGCTGCTGGGCGTACGGCGGAACGTGTAGTTGCTGCGGCAGGGCGAGCAGCGGAGGCAGTAGTGGTGCCAGGCTTTGCGGCAGTCTGCCATTGGATTGAAGAATGATTTGCAATCCAGTCAGATGAGATGTGCTTGCTAGCCGTCAAGCGCGCAACGCGAAAGTGCGCGACTTGTTCGCACTCACCTTGACGCCTGCGGTCACGCTTGCTCGAGGCTTGGCGGCAGCAGCAGCGGTGGTAGTGCCGGCAACGGTCTTCTTGACTGGAGCAGTCGGCTTGGTGGTTGTTTGCTCCGCCGCCGCCGCCGCCGCCGCCGCCGCCGCCTCGCCATTCTCCTTGGACTGCATTTCTTCCTCTGCCTGACCGTTGGGTTGCTCATTGGGCGCATCGCCTTGATCCTTTTGGTCTTGAGGCTCATCGTCCTCATCAGGCACCGAAGTCAATCCGCTATCCTCTCCGATGCCATTCTCCCCATCTTTGGCCACATTTTCGGTCTCGTCGGCAGAGTTGGAGAGGTCTAGCTGAGGGGAAGCTTCCTCTTGAGAATCATCTTCGGCAGCATTGGAGCCGTGGTCGATGGTGGACTGGTTGGCCACCTCTGCGTCCGACATCTTGCAAGTGTACGTGTGTACGTGTGTGCGTATATGCGTGCGTGTGTATGCGTGCGCGGATGATGACCTTTGTTTTGGGAAGTGTGATGGTGAAGGAGGAAGCGGCGCGGGACAGCAAGCGAGCGGGCTTAATTGCTGAGCCTGTCACTGTGCACCTCTCTCACACTCGCTCGATCGTGACTCTTGATGTCAGTCACAGTCCCGCGGCCGTGCACGCCGTACACACAACAACAGCGCCCAGCCACTTTAAGCGCACGCACCACTCACGACTCCCAACACTCACCACTCACCACTCACCACTCACCACTCACCTCACGACTCACGACTCGCGACTCGTGGCATCAGCTAGAAGACTCACGACTAGCGCCCTGTCATGCTGCATGCTGTGTGAAGATCGACCTGCCTGAGCTGTGTTGCTCTCCCCGCTGCCCACGCAGCTGCAAGCACGATGCATCGCAGGCGGCACTTCAGCACCCACTCGCACTCGCACTCGCACTCGCACTCGTCACCCGTCCGGCTGCAGCACGCTTTGGCGCTGCAGCTGTCTGCGTGCGTGGGTGCATACAGTACGCGTGCACGGCGATCGATGCCTCTCAACCGCCGCTCATCTGCAATCAACACTCAAACTCACACTTGCGACTCGACTTGTTCGCTCACACCGCAACACTCACGACTCACGGCTCGAGACTATAGGCTGACTTGCAGCCAAAAGAGCACCTCATCCGATAGTCACAGTAACGCGTCACCCTGCTCGACTCTCTGACTCTTTGCAGCCCGATTTGACTTTGCACCGCCCAAGGCGGGCACGCACGGGCAGGGGCAGGGGCACGGGCACCCCGCAATCTCAAATCGACCAGCCGTGTCAGTGAGTGGCATCGGTGCTGGGGATCAATTTGAGTATCAGTAGCGGTCTCATCATCCATATCGGTACGAGTAGCAGTTTTGAGTATCAGCATCAACACCTACACCTACATCAACAATCAGGGCTTACAACCGAGCTGCCATGGCGCCCTTCGCATGGAAAGCCGAGCCCGGGTATCTAGACCAATGGCTATATCATCTGACGTGGAGTGGCAATCCACAAGCATTTGACGGCAAGTTCCAGCAGCTCGCGCAATACACGACATTCGACTCGCCCAGCGCTTACCGGCTCTACCGCCGCAAGGAGGAGTACTTGGCTGTCAGCCAACTCCCACTGTCGGAGCAGGGGAGCGAAGCAGAAGGTGTGGAGCAAGTGCTGGATAGGCGATGCGTCCAGCGATTTCACGCAAAATTTGCCAAGGTCGACACGAGCGACTCTCAAGTCACTTCGAGCACCAGTGCCAGTGCCAGTGCCAGCTGCAGCTCACACTTTGTCCCCGCGCTAGAAATCGACGGCATCCACTCTTCCCCACTGGATCTCGTTTTTTTTGCTGCTGAGCGCTTCAACGCAGCTTTAGCACGAGGCGATCTAACTGGCAATGATACTGCGACTGCGAATTCCGTCAACACAAAGATCAGGAGCCAAATTTTTCACGAGGCAAGACGCCAGTGGGCAGTGGAAGCGACGCTTTGCGAAAACGTCGTCTCCCCTTTGCTCGAGATTGCGCAGGGCCTGGTGAATGCTGTCCTTTATCGGGAATCACAACATGACCCGCTTGCTGCTCCCGATTCTCCGCCGGCAGCACCTCTGAAACAAGTGGCCTGGCTCAACGAGACGCAATCACCAGAGAATGCTCCGGCCCTGCAAAGCGCCTTCCTCCAAGCGCGGAAAAGAGGAGCAAGATGGGACTATGCTCTCTTTGACTTTGAGCCCATTCAGGGCACCCCGAACTGCCAAAGTGAGTACAAGCCTGACGACGCCCTATGCCCGAACTCTTGTGCGTCGATCGGGCGCGTACATTGCCAGGCTCTTTTCGCTCTGGGCAAAGTCAAGCGAGCCGCGCTGAGCTGATCATACCATACGCTCCACTCTGTCGCTTCCCGATCACGACTCCAACCTAATCTCGTGGTGCGCAATCGCCAAGACGCGCGCATTGTCGCGGTGGTAGAGGTCAAGCGACGACTGCCCGCCAATGTTCTGCAAGATCTGCTTGCGCTCGCCAATACCGGTGTTGCTCTTCGCGAAGGCTTGGGCAGGCGCAACAGTCAGGGCGAGGGCCCTCCTGCGCACGAGCGCTTGCTCGCACAGATCGTGAGCTACTGTGCACACACCGGGGTACGTACCGGAGCAATCTTCACTGGTTCGGTGCTTCTGGTCGTAGACCTTGATGGCGAGCCGGAGGGGAAGATGAAGATCACCTTACGGACACCAGTCATCGCGTCGCCCCATGCCATGGTCGACGATCCACAGCTGCAAAGTCTGCATGTGGATGCCAGGTCCAACTTGCCGTCCCAGTTGACCGCATTAATACTCCATGCGCTACAGCGGATGGACAGTCTGGGTGCGCGAACTAGGCGCATGGGTCAATCTATCCTCATCTGCGAACCGGCGCTTGCCCAATCGGGTTTGCAAAACGTGAACGTCGGCTCTTCGGGGGTCAGGTACTCGCAGCGACTCCGAAATAAGCGAGCCTCTGGCGGAGATGCTTCAGGGTCAAGTGCGAATCAAGGGCAACGCGTCGACGCATTTGCAATGGACAGCGAGCGCTCTGATGCAGCAGAGATCGTCGTCGACAATACGCCTCTATTCGATGGCGCATCTGCCGGCGTGCACAAAGCTTCATTCCAGAGCGCTAGCAACATAGTTGCCGGCACAAATTCGATGGAGCGTCTATTGGCAAAGTTGTACGACTCACCAACCATGGCGCATCACCGCGACGCTGACGAGTCTGAACAGTGTTTGGCTTCGCATGAAATTGGGGTGTACAGTGCTCTGCGTGCCCTGCAGGGCAGATACGTGCCGCATCTTTTCGGATTGCTGCGTCTGCCCCCAACGCCAAAGGAAGCAGCCTCAAGTCAGCCGGAGCATGTCCGAGGCATGAGCAGCAGCGGGTCGTCTGCGGGCAATAAAACTCCGCCACCATTAGCTGTCGGGATCGAGACCCCCCCTTTGACAGCGTCGCCCAGCTCCAGCAAAGGCTCGACAACTGCGACAGCATCTTCGCCTCCCAAAATCATGGGGCTCTTGCTCGAAGATGTGGGCCAGACTTTGGCGTCTTTGACTTTTGACCAACTCGAGCATCTCCTTTTACAGGCAGATGATGAGGCCCGCCGCCCACTCGGCTCGCAGCATGCCGAGATCAGCGATTGGGTCAAGGCCAAATTCATCGAAACCGGCAAGCAGCTTCACGGTCACGGTGTATTGCATCGAGACATTAGGGCTGCCAACATGTGTCTTCGCGTCCAGGGCGGCTCGCTACAGGCGCTGCTGATCGACTTTCACCTTGCAGCGTTCACGGATCCTCTACGGTGCAAGGAGGAGTGCAAAAGAGAGCTTGGAAAGATTGCAGACGTTGTTGAGCACGTCGTGCAAACCCTCTTTGCTCGATCTGCCGAGCAAGGCAGCGTTTCGTCGAGCACCATGCGAGACACCTGAGTGCGCATCCACTCTTTTTGCCCCCCCCCCCCCCCCGCATCATTCGAACCACCGCCCGTTCGCAATCCTGGCAGCCCTCTACTGCACACTGAGCCTCTTGTACGCTTGCCTACAAGTCCCATTTTTCCCCATCCAGAGTCACCTGTTTCCCCCAAGTATTGATTTGGCCTACAACAAGCATCACGCACATCACCAAGAGAGCATCATCGAAAGCACGCATCCCCCACCACCACACCCACATTCCGCATCACCTGTAATCGTAAGCCCCCCGCAAAGAGATGAGTTTCCGGACGAATCATTGAGCTGAAAATGTGTCGAGCATTGAGGCAGCGGCATAGCAGAACGAACGACATTTTGAGGGAAGGGGAGGGGGGAAGTGCGATCGAGATGATGTTTGCCCTAGTATGGCAAGACGACTCGCAGCCTTGTGCACTGCAGAGGGAAGGTTGTTGTGGAAACGTGAATTGTTTAGGGGGTGGTCTTTGATTGCTTGGTACTAGAGCGCAGCAGGCGCAGAGACCCGAACAGACCGGCCCTGTATCAGCCCAGTCCATCTCTCAGATCCCAAGATCCTTCTCCCTTGTTTTGGAGTGCTTCAAGGTAAGGTCGAGCCACGGAGATTGAAGTTGTATCGACTCGATTGACTAACTCAATTGACTCGATTGACTGCTTGTGACTAATTGCTTTGACTGAATTGACTGACTGAATTAACTCGATTCACTGACTATTTTGACTGTATTGACTCGATTGACTGACTGTATTGATTCGGTTGACTGGATTGACTCGATTGACTGCCTCTCAGCACAGCAAAACCCTCAGTCAATCTTGCCTCAACCCCCTCAGCTTCGCACGTATGCAACAGCAGCGCCAAGTTTCGCATCAGAAGGAACTCGTGTTCCCACTTTCGAGCGCAAGCAAGCAAATGATGACGTGAAGCCTAGCAAGCAGGGTGAAAGTACACGGTCTTGCGCTAACTTACTGCTCGCGCTGATTCATTCCGCCCCACCTTCTTTCCTCGCAAGGCACCCTAACATTACACGTCGCGCTCGCATTGCCCCGTACCAGCTCATCTTCCACGTGCTCACTCACCCACCCTCACATGCCCAGCGCCTTCCCCCCTCCGCATCCGCGCAGACTGTTACTCGCTCAATTCCTTCCAAGATGCTAATGCTGGGGGGCCTCCCAAGAACTTGCTTGCCTGACTTCTCCTTTAGCTTCTGCCACCGACCGTTCCCTTGCCGCTGGCTCATCGATGTGCCGCAGCTGTTGTCCTTTACTCATCAGCCACAAGCCACATTTCGCCTTTCGCACGAATCCGAACCAACACCCGCATGGATGCCCCCCCC